TATCTAACCATCAAGTACTCTTTTTCGGAGATCCCTATCCAATAAGACTTATGTGAACTATGTGGCCTAATATGCTTTAAATGGATTTCAAAATCTTTAGTCTTATTTTGGCTGCTCTTGTCTTCGTTCTCCGTGAATGCCTTCACCAAAGTCGCACGCGTTTACAATCCATTAGTTCACAGGCGTAACCCATACTCAAGTCAAGATGATCCTCTGTATTTGTGCACCTGTCTTGTGGGCAACAAACATTAACTCAAATTATGCACCTGATCTCGGCATTGATAGTCCGGTTTCTCCGCCCGAGCACTTCGACGTCGACAGCGATGCGCGAACACAGACGGCCAATTTTGAACATTCCCCTATAATGGTCAAGCCCCTGCATCAATTTGTAGTGCCGTAAAAATTGGTGCAGTATGCGTCCGACATTTCAAAGACACTCCGAGATCCAGAACGCACGGGAGATGTCTCAAATTGGCAAATACCAATTGAGCCTTCTGCATCCGTAGATATATCTCACCCGAAATGCAGGCTCCAGGTGATGTATACCTGTCCGAAATGCGCAATGTATCTAATACACTTAAAGTGATGTTTCGGAACGGGACCAGCACTGTTTTCCTGTTTTGTGGGCGACAAAAATTAACTCAAATTATGCATCTGACCTCGGCATTGATAGTCCGGTTTCTCCGCCCGAGCACTCCGAAGTCGACAGCGATGCGCAAACACCGACGGCCAATTTCGAACATTCCCCTATAATGGTCAAGCCCCTGCATCAATTTGCAGTGCCGTAAGAATTGGTGTAATATGCTTCCGACATTCCAAAGACACTTCAAGATCCAGAACCCACGGGAGATGTCTCAAGTTGGCAATTACCAATTGAGCCTCCTGCATCCGTACAGATATCTCACCCGAGATGCAGCCGCCAGGTGATATATACCTGTCCGAAATGAGCAATTTATCTAATACACTCAGAGTAATGTTTGGGAACTGGACCAGCACCGTTTTCTGGGGACATTTTTAAGTTTAAAAGTATAAAGAAGATACAGAAAATGCTCTCCTGGCACGCAAACCAGAAAACTATACAACTTGTCTCAGTGTTCACTCAGCAGCACGACACTGACCGCATGCTGCAATTTACACAGCCTGCTATCTGGGAGGATCTCAATTCACTCATTGTCGCAAGGCGAAATGGAATACATGACAAAGGTGGAAGAAGAAGGACAGTTCGGGCAACCCTAATGAATAGAGTTTTCCCTGAAGATACTGCATCACAAAAGTGCTGTTAACTTGAAACGGGCTTTGGTTGTCAAATGAAAACATCTAATTATTTGAAATAATCTCGTTGGTGCACCTTTCAAGGTGAGGTAGCGCCTAGGTATATGTTGGTCGATCGAGACCACTTTCAGACCGAGAAATATGGAAATGCTTCGTCTATGCACTGATTATCTCTATTAAAGAAAACGGCCAAGAGTGACCATGTGGTGCATGCCATGAAGTACCCATTAGTTTCGATAATTACAAGACCAAGACTAAACCTTAATCTATAAAGGCCAGTTGGCACCGATAGTTGGTTCTTTTTCAGAAGGACGACAGGTATCAACTTGTGGTAAATACCTAAATCAAATAGGAGTTGAGCGGTGTAATTTCAACTGGGTTACTCAAACTGTGTCTTTTAATGTTTTCCCTGTTGAACCGGTCGAAGTCGCTGAATACAAATTGGTGTATCCTCTAGAGACTTATTTGTCGCACTCGGTTTGGCCCTAGTATGGAAAATATTAGAACTTCTACTCATAGCTGCAGCCTTTTCTACCTCTCAGCATTACGCAGTCCAACAATACTCGCGGTCATTCCTCGGGCCTGTGAAGTGAATGGTCCACAATTATTGGCCTTTGAAAACAGCAGTTTTGAGTGAATTTCCATCAGTGGTACTTGATAGCGATTTGGTCCAGTTGAGTAAATCGTTTTGAAAGTTGAGTGGCATTCCATGTGAGGTGCTGTCCCTTTTTTGGAGAGTGGTTGCTATTGGGCTAGAACAATCCGTGGTCTACCCAAAGTGAGCCACCTATAATATCAGTTCAGTCTGAGGGGATTGCATTCTGGGGCGTTCGACAACTTTCTGAGTAGTCTGGGTTGGTGGCTGGTGGACAGTGACTACTACAAATTCCGTTGAAAAAAAAAACACTCTTAATTAGATAACAGAAATTTACACAGATTTTATTGTTCATCTCAAGCGCACCGATATCATCTGGTGAAAAGAGAGACATAACACGCGGTCTGATATATAGATAAGAAATCTTGAGCGATCTGGAATTAAAGAGTCTGGTGATACTTGAATTCTCTTTTTTTGGAGGCAGTATATATCCAGTGTGATCGTTTAATGGGATGAAGCTAAGGCAGATAACTGTCAAATTTGATAAATTGAGTGCGGCTAAATAAAACGGGGGTTTCAGCTTCATCAATCCTATAGTTTCTGATGAACCCGAAAGGGTGAATGCTGCTCGTCAGCCCTTGAGTAACAAAAACGTGATGCATTTCGTATACTTCGAGTGAAATGAAGAACTGTGCATCCACGACCGTTGCTTTTCAGCAGCGATTGCAACGGTGTACAATTTGTTGAGCGCACATAGATCGCCAGAACCAGTTTTTTCTTTTGGTTGGGATTAGTGATTGGCTTCATAGATTCACTAACAGCTGCGTATAATTCGGTTGGGTAGCTTTTTACCCCATGGCTTTAAAATACGCTCCTGTTACAAAAGGTTTATTGCAATTCCTTTTGGTAGCTGCTTCGCAAACGTAGCGGCATGACGCCATGCTAATTTCAAAATACATTAATATTTATTGCTCGGGGTTTGGTCTAATTTAGCTCGATAGTTCCGCACTCTTTGACGCCTCCAACTCTCCCTGTGGTTTAACTTCATCTTGCAAAGGCAAGTTATCAAACACACAATAAATGTTTAATTCATGAAGCAGACAAGTGTGCGAAATGCACATAGTCATATGCCTGCTATTCCTCTCAATCCAGCACCATGAGGTGACATGCATTGTGAAACCGCATCCTACCAATATCAACTTGTGGCATAACTCACCCACAACCCCATGACTATTGACTACTAAAATGATCCTTCAGGTGCCATTCAGTATCAGTGTATCAATAGTTCCGGGATTTACACAGGATATATTGTTTTATCGATTCAACAAGCATTATCTTAGCATGTAAAGGCAATGGTTCAGAGGTTATTTTTTCCAACGAGAAAGACTTGAATGATGAGACTGTATAACACATTGAATTGGTCATTTTCCTCCATAAAAAAGGATTCATCGAGAAAGTTTGCCTTTTGGTCCCGTCCACTTGAGGTATCGATTCAATTGTGGCAGTTGACTGCTGCACGTTGGCTGCACCAGGATTTTCGTAACAATACTCCACATTGGTTTTGGATATATTTTGAGGTTTACCTTGCATTAGAAAAATTCTAATACGCACGTACCCATTCGCATGCAGTTCCAAAAACGGGCATCTCTGATTTCAGCCGGGGGCAGAATAGTTTCGAAAATACGAGATAGTTATCGCTATGTCAAACCTCGTTTGAAGGTGATGGTACAATTTATCCTTTCATCTAATATAGTGATTTTCCCAAATGAAAACCCATATCCGCCAATGATAGAACGTTATTCTCTTCAGTGCCTGTCTCTTGTCATTTAGGATGCAAGCCAATTAGGTCATTGGTAAGTAACTACTAATTATCTGCTAGTGCTGCGAGGACCAAAATGGGCAAAGATGAGTTGTGCTATATCGGGAATCTTCAAAATAAGAAACGTTATGATCAGCTGCCCTATGGCCGAGTGATTAGTATGCTTGCGTTCTGTTTGTGAAGCCCTGCGTTTGATCCCCAGTTTCATCGATGGATTCGCAGTACTCTTTAGACCCAACCACGTCAAAAATGCTGTCCAGTGCTTCCTAGAGTTTAATATACTCTCAATTTGCTATGTTCAGGACGAATTCGTCCTTTTAAATAAGGATTGACCGACAATAGTGAAAAGTTTCTTCACTAATTTGTAACCAGAGATTGGACGACCGTGACAGACAGTACAGCATTATGTTAAAAAGTATTTTGATGAGCTTATGTGTACTCTAGCTTATCACTCCAGGCTACCCTAAGAGTATGCAATAGCTATCCCCAAACGAATGATCAATTCCGTTCACTGATCAATTGATTCGATGGACCAGGTGCAACAAAGGACATGCCGCTTACCAAATTAGCATGATCCGCCCACTTCGATTCATTATAATGCCCAGTTAACCTCAGCTGTGCATAACTGGAGTGAAAACATCAATCGTCGGGACAAGGGAAACAACAAACTTATCACAGGCTTAACCAACCGGTGATCAGGCAGGCTCGTGTCAGGTTCAAGGAATCGAAGTTGCTCACGTAAAAGAAAATTATCCAATCACACCCCAAAGAGGACCNGACCAAAGTGGAATAAAAGCTCTGTGAGTCTTTTGGTTTTTGGACAGAAAGATCTGAAACAATCAAACAGTGGCACGAAGCCGACGGGAATAAACAATCGTGTGTGAGTTCGTGAAATTCATACAGGCACGTGTGCATTTCATAGCTCACTGGTTGTTAGTTGGAAAAAGTTGATTGATACATGTTTAAGAATTACAATGCCCGGTGGTTACTATCCTACTGGTACCTCACCATCGTTCTGACTTCTGCTCCTAGCCGTTGTTTGTAGATCTGCAACAATAATGTCCCACTATCTATTTTATAACGTTTGACTTGGGATTCATTTCCTCTTCTACTACATGCAAACTGTACTATTCTTGTGCAATGTGATGGAACTTTCTGTTTGCATCCACTCATCTCACAAACATTTGACAACGGTCCGGTTAGGAATAAGCTGACAGCTTTTAACCAAAATTCAGGGTACAGAGTATCGATAGTGAGTTCGGAAACCAAAAGTATTTTGACAGACAAGCACTGATCGATAAGATACGGAGATTGACATTTTTGACAATAGTGCGATGGTAGAATCTATGATGTAAATTAGGTTAGCGTGATCCACAATAGTATTCAGCAAATACTGTGAACAAACCGGGGAAACATGTGTGATACGACGGTGTGAACCTTGTGAGCGTGTATAAGTCAATCCTGTTCACGTCGCAATGTGACGGGAAAGGCGCTGATGATATGGATGAGCAACTTCTTCAATTATCTAACACATCCATTCTCATTTTCCCCAAGCTAGCTTGAACGNTAAGAATAAATATCTCATCACTTCTCTTGGGATGCACGAGGGCCGAAAGGAAAACGCTCCACTTTCGACCAAGATGTTATTGATTTCACCAGCTTCGAGTGTGCACTCCATAAAGTAACGAATGCATTGCAATACTCCTTATGAGAATTCACTCAAAAGCGCGTATCACAATGGTATTCAAAATGAGTTCGATTTCACTGGCTGGTCATTGATGCGGATTGTTGTCCAAAGTTTTAATTTAAAAAATATGTCGTTCGACAACAAGCAATAGAGAGAAACCAGAGGCTCTTTGGTTCCTGTTATGACTCAGTTTTTCTGGTCATGTTGCAAAGGAGTAGTGGCCAAGGCAAATCAATAGTTCTGAATTGTTTAG